ATATGCTAAATGCAACCGTTTTCCCACGAAAGAGGAAATAGCTAGATTTTATTTAATTTAATTTTATTTTTATTACTTGCTTGAGGACTAGCAAGTTATAAGTTGGGGGATGTGATTAAGGCCGAATTGTACAACATTGAGACCGTTAATTAGGATCTCTTAACTTTACTTGCTTGTCAAACTATATATTTTATGTTTGTTTAATGTCAATCAGGTTGTACATAATGGGTGTTTAGGAAGTGGGTTTTTTTGTAGGTTTTTTTAGTTGTAGGATATTATTGGAATTTTTTTTTTTTTTTTTTGTTTGGAAAGATAGTTTGGTTTTTTTGTGGTTGGATGTGATGTTTGTGAGAGAAAAGTGAAATGATTATGGTGTTTGATGTGATATTTTGTTTGGATTTTTTTTTTTTTTTTTTTTTTTTTTTTTTTATTTTATTTTGTAACCAAAAAAAAAAAAAAAAAAAAAAAAAAAAAAAAAACCAAAAAACTTCCTTCCCAAACACCCCCATAGCCAAAGCATAAAATGGGCAAAAATACAGAATTTGTAGAGAAAACAGCTTCCTGCACGTGCGTTGACTTTTTTCGCACGTGCGTTGACTTTTCTGGGAAAACGGGCCCTATGTTTTAAACATGTCTGAAAGACCGCAGAAGTATAAATAGGAAAGAAAAAGGTTGGATTAGGGTTTGGAAATTAATTCCAACAAGAGAGAGGCTAGGGTTTGGTGAAAAAGAAGAATTCTCAAGCTTTCAAGACAACTTCCATTGGGGCTTCCATCTCTCCCATCTCTTCCATGTCTTCTCACTCCTCCATGAGTGGCTAGGTTATTCTTTTCTAGGGTTTTGATAAAACCCTAACCATGTAATAGGATTTTTCATATGCTTTGATTATGATTCGGTTTGAATCAATGTATGAATGTTTTAGAAGTTTATAATAATTATTCTTTTCATCTCTTCAAGTATTTTACTCTCTCTGATTGTTTAATGCTTTCCATACATTAGTTTTCTTTATGTTTGTGTTCAAAGTACAAGACACGTCATGTTACGAGAAACGGGTTGTGTTGCTACCGTAGTTTAGAGCAAACACCTCGTGCTACTCGGGATGACTCGTGCCTGTACGTTGAATGCAACAACCCTCTTGATCAATATTTCAAGCTTGTAGTTGTGAAATATTGGGTACTTCAAATTAGATTGCAATTGATAGCCAATGTTTAATCTCGTTCATATGGTTAGTGGTGAATTCTTTGCCCTATGATTTTTCCCAAAAATTAATATCTCAAACCCTAATTTTAATTGTCAATTTAATGTCTTAGTTTCATTTAATTCCTTTTTAGTCATAAAATCTCTCAATATTTTTAATCAAAATTAATTTAGAAATTTAACAATTAAATTAGTCTAATTTCACAATTGTCCCTGTGAATCGATACATGAACTTGCCATTATTTTAAAAGAATTTGAGTGGATCCAGCCTATATCAACAATCCAATGTGGAGTGGCCATATCCACCACAAATTTGCCAAGCAAGAGAGGAAGCAGATCTACCTCTGCCTCTAGAGAAACCACCATGATGATTTTTTGAAAGCTGGAGACATTTGAGCACTTGAAAAATTGGAATAGGTATTGAATGAATTCGATCCATGAGATCTTCCACCTTGACTGTCTCTGTAAGATCGTCCTCTGGATCCATAAGAATGACCTCTATTATTATAACTTGAAGAATCTCGGGAAAAAAAGAAAAAAAAAAAAAAAAGCCACAATTAGCTCAGTATGAAGTTTGTGATGTTTAGATTCAACATATATGGCTTCAGAAATGAGAAAAGAAGCCAGTTCATCCATCAAAATGAATTCGAATCTAGATCGAATTGTTGTCTTAAAAGCAGCATACTCATCTGGAAGGCCATTCAAGGTAAGAAGAACAAGGTCTTCATCATCAATAAGCAAGAGCCAATTGACTAACCAGGTCTTTGATCTTAGACAATAATCCTCCATTGAATCAGCTTTCTTTGTAATAATGTTTAACTCGTTCTTTAATTGATGAACATGAGATCGAGAGAGAGAGAGGTGAAATGTTATGCAATGCAGTCCATACCTCAAAAACGATGAAGATGAATAGATAAATAGATTACAGGTGACAAGTTGCAGAAGTACAAGTGAGCAAGTGAGCATCGACAATTTTTCATTGCAGATATGCAAGATTATCAACCTCTGAACCAGAAGCATCTGTAATCACTTGGGGACATGGTATAGTACAATCAACAAAGCCAAAAAGACTAGTTGCAGTCAAAATATTCTGCTTTTGGTTTTTTCAGATCAAGAAATTTGAAGCATCAAGTTTAATTGTGATAAACGAGGAAAGATTGGAAATCAACAAAGAAAGATTTGAAGGAATAGAAGCAGAAGCCATGAAAGAAGGTAAAGAACTCGAAGTTGAAGAAGCCATGGATCATCTCGTAGGAGTTTACTATTCTAGAATATTCAAGGTATCCCAAATAGAATGATACATCTGCTATACATACCACGCTCACACACTCTTTAAAAAATATCTAACACAATTACACACATGCTCTATTTAGTTAGTTATAACCAATTCCTAACAAACTTGATGAGCTGGACACATCTCTTGAGCACATGTTAATTTCCTAATTGCAATTGAAGCAGTTATAAGTGGAGCTGCAACTGAAGCTGACTATAAAGATGAAGCTGAGGCTAAAGATGGCACTCACGAAACTCTTGAGGCCTTTGCTTTTGAAGCCATTGCATCAATATACTCAACACTAATAATGTGACAATTTATTATAATATCTAAAATAATCATCTCACTTTTTCGTATCTTATTTAATCATCAACTAATCATCTCACTTAGATATCATTAAATTTAGAAAATGTGACTTCAAAGTAAGTGAGAGGGAGATTAATGATATGGAATTTGTACCGGACAGATTTGGGCCGGACAGAGTTAGGCCGGACAGTGTTGTGCCAGACAGATTTGGGCCTAACAGGTGTTGGGCCAAGTTGTGTGGCCCGGCCTTGATGGAAGCTGCTCGGTTAAGGCAGCACGTTGATTGACTGAGCTACAAGGATCCGTGGTTGCGAAGCCGGTTAGGTGAAAAGCCCATCGCCAGGAAAGGCAATGTTGGACCGAGGTACCTGTTTGCTCGGCAGGTAGGTCGACCGCAGACAAGTGTGAGTAGTCCCGAGCTCGGCTTTGCCGAGATGCCGCCGAGTCCGGTCCTCATCTGAGCTTAGCTGTTGGAGTACTTGGGCATGAAGCGCAGCATGACAAACGATGGCCGAGATGATACTGCCCGGCTGCTGAGCTCCCAGGAGCATGGGCAGGCAGTTGGGTTAGGTGGTGCTCAGCAAGGTTTATGCTGACAGATGGGATAGCAGTGCCACGTGTTGAGAGGTCACTGGGAGTAGATTTGGGGCGCAGAAGGTATATAAGCATGTCTGCGCCCCCCATACGGAGACAGATGAACATTTGGTGAGATTTACACTAAAAACCCTCTCTCTCTCTCTCTCTATCCCTGTGTGTGTCTAACTTGATCGTCGGAGGGGTTTTCCCGGCCACACACCGCCGGGTAGCTCACCGCCGTTGTGCTCACAGGTCGATCGGACAGACAGGAGCTTGGAAGAAAGGAGTGCGGGCTTGCCTGAATATTTGCTTCCCGCACAGTAAGTTTGTATATAATTTTCTATTTCAATAATTTGTTCAAAAACAATTGCATAAGTAGAAACTTTCAACTTGTAATGTTTAGTCAAGTACGAGTAGGTGTAAAAATGGACCGCGACTCGGGGTGGGCCCGATCCGGGCCCGATCCCAGCTTGGCCTGCTCAAGGCTCACTCAATGCCCAACCTGTCTAAAGCCTAGTGTCATTTTTTGTGAAAAAAAATAAAAAATAAAAAATAAATTTTGATGAAAAAAAATAAATAAATAAAATCATGATACTCCATAATATTTTTATTACATGCCTATAGTCTGGTATTATTGAATAATTATCCTTCGGTTAAATCTTAGAAAAATGTATTGATAATATAGGAAAATTATTAAGTACTCTCAGAGTACCACATGTCTATACTCGTTCACCAATCATAATTCATCATGCCATTTTATATTCCTCAATCACCCAACACAAAAATAAAATACCTCATTTTCTCCATCAATTATAATATCATGGAGCACAATGTGACCATACTCTCAAAATATTCAATAATCACCCGATAATATATATGTCAACACGTCAGGACACCATGTTGATATGTATATTCACCAACGAGGCATGGCTAAATATTTGAGCGAATCTGGGTTGAGGACCAAATTTTGAAAGTAAATCCATATTAGAAAATCAAAAGCCTAACATTTTCAATTGATCAAAATCATACAATTCTGTTATTGTATAACCAACTTGGTCATGTTTAGACAATTTAATTTACTTTTTTCCTCTAATTCAAAACCACATGGAAGAGCATATGTAGATTGAGTAATGTTATATACACCAATTAATGTACTAACTAGTGTACCAATTGATGATATGACATAATTTAATATGTTTTTAGCATTTGTAATTTATATAATGAATGGGGTCAATCATAAGATCATAATTAGTTTTAGTACATTAATTAGTACGCTAATTAGTACACGTAGCACCACTCATATATATTACTTTAATGAGTGCTTTAGCTAATTCAAATCTCTGTGACTTGCTCGAGCACAGCTCCATGAACTTGGCTGCATAATTAAAAACTTTTGAACTTGTAAAAGAAAGTTGAAAGTTGAGTCTAGCAAGACCAACAATATTGAAAACTTGTTGGGGAAACAATATTAAATTCTTTTATACAATGAGATTTGGGGTGAACAACATTTCAATCTTATATAATTATACAACAAAAGCGGCTATAAGCACTTGAAATTATTATTAAAGCAGGTCTAGAAAAACAAGATGTATTTGCAATCTGACTATTTTTTACGACATTATTTTCATGTATCGGACCTGTACCACTAAAGAGGTTAACAACAGCTTCCTTTGACAAAGAGATTAAAACCAGTTTTTTTGATTTTTTGATTTTATATCATTCCTTTATTTTTTTACACACTTAAAAAAAATTAAAGAACCAACCTTTAACCTACTTTCCAAAACAACGTGAAGCTATCCTTTCACATAACTATACATTATATACAACAACTTCTAAAATAGAAAATAAAAAATAAAAAGTATATGTATTCACAATCAGAAGAGCTTGCTTGCAAATTCATCAATGGAGTTTCCATCTATATGCGACGAGGCTGATGAGGAAGCAAGGTCTCTAAGCTCTGATAAGCTTCTTCCCAACTTCAAACCCACCTTCATCTCAAACAGTTCTCCATTTTCTCTCTTTTCCACTTCTCTCTCAAGTGTGGATTCAATTGATTCCTGCAAAAGTCCAAAGAAGCCTGAAGAGTTTCTGTACATCTCAAACACCATCCCAACTTGCCCTCCATGCTCTATTGTGTTAACTACACTTGCTAAAGCTGCGGCAACAACCGCCACTGGTCCATGAGAAAAAGATGCCCCAACAGCTGCAACACCAGTGAGAATAGGGCTTGAAATGGCCAATATTTTGTTAATCTTTAACACCAAGTTACCTAATCTCACATAGTCTACAATGTCTTTTCTCTTCAATACTTCAACAATCTCCTTCATTTCCACTTCCATCTCCTCACTCCATCCATTTCTCTCTCTCTTCTCCCAATTAACCTCTCTTTCTTCATATACTTTTCTTTCATTTTGGGCATGTTTTGATGGCCACCAAATAGCAGGCTCAAATGTTAAAGGAAACTTTTCAAGCATGACTCCAAGTAAGGGAAGTGGGTATGCTTTGTCAAGTGCCAAAACCTTCTCCATTGCCTCATTGACATCATTTTGATTGACGTCGCGAAGAGCCAGAATGATTTCAATTTCTCCATAGATTTGCTTAAACAACCGGGCAGCGCTGCGCTGTTCTTCAGCAAGTTGTGATGGTTGGAGCTTGTTCATCACCATCAACATCCCTGTGGCTGCACAAAACAAGAGTGTTGATGACAATTTAAAAGCAAAAAGTGGCACTCCAATGGCAGCAATAGTATTGCTTGCTGCAAGTCCTGCCATGGTCGCGGCAGAGAGAGTGATTGTGTTGATAGAGCTCAGAAGAAGGGCGTTCCAGTTGTCTCTCTGTTCACCGATGGTTTTGTGCATTTCTACTCTGTCAGCTATGGCTTCTAAGATTGCATAAAGCTTGGCAGTGGAAATGTCAGTGGACAGTGGAGGTGGTTCATCGACTATTGTCGGGCAAGTTGTTTCATCGCTTTTAGATAGGATTGTGTTTGTGATTGTGGTTGTGGTTGCGAATATTCCATTTTTTATATTGAATTCATGTACCAAGTTTTTGGTTGGAAGATTTGAACTGGAAATACAAGCTCTTCTAAGCTTTGAATTATGTGTGGCGGCATTTATTCTGTTTGAAGAACAAGATAAAGGGCTTGAAGATGAAGAAGAAGAAAATAGAAGAGTTGAAACTTTTAGGGTGGCCATACTGGTGATCTCTCTCTCTCTCTCTCTCTCATATGCTGATACATAGGAGGGATTTGAAGGATGAGAATGGAAACGTAGAGATGAATGTCTATATATTCTATGGCCTGTTTGGTAAAGGAATTTTTTAAGTTAAAATAGTTAACATTTAAATTATAACCGTTTTATTTTTTTTCTCACAACAATCAAATCAACTATAAAAAAAAGTCAACTAACTTCTGAAACACAACTTAAAATTAACGGCGAAGGGTTGGCCTAATGGTGTGGGTTTGAAATTTAGGAGTTTGTTTCTTTCTAACTTTCCGGTTCAAAACATCTTGGATGCTATCAATCTTTATATTCAGCCAGTCTATACAAACCTCTACTCTAACTTTAATTGGGCCTCTACTAGTGGATGGTGAGATTAATCCCCAAATATTAGTTGTACCCAAAAATTAGTTGAGATACGGGCAATTTAACTCCGACACCCTAAGTTATTAAAAAACTTATCAACATTAGAATTAGTCTCAGAAAAACTTAATAGTAAATCTACGGCAGCGAACCCTAAGAGAAAAAGGCATACTGGAATTTAGGTGAGAATGAACACACAAATATACAAAAAAAAAAGCATACTTTATGGCCTAGTCAAGTTCATACTTTATGGCCTAATCAAATTCATCCTAAGTGGAGTAAGGTTCAGACCTCAAATAAATTTTAATCATATAATATTTTATATTTTTGTTTCTTAAGATTGTAATTCTCTTCCTTAAATATCTCAATTACATCATATAAAGAGTGAGACATAATAATGACAATCTATTAATATTTTAAATTTAAAAAGAACTTTTAAATTTTTTAAATAATATAATAAAAATCTTTCACTTTTTTTATAATTAAGATAATCACAATCCCCAACTCACTCCCATTAACTCACGTATCACATTCTAATGATAACGTGTATTACCGTTGTTTTGTTATGAAGTTTTCTCAAGAGTAAGAGTAGGGTTAGATTGTTGAAAATATTGACTGAGCTATCAGGAGGTTGACTAGGCCCACGGGTGACCCATTCTCAGGTAATGGGCTGTGGTCCAAGTCTTGTGTTAGAGGACGCAGTAAAAACTCATATTAAAAAGGCCAACTTCCGCGTGTCATGGCATCATGTTAATAATAATAATATTATTACTAGCGTGTTTGGTTAAGAAAGCCCAACTTTTTCGTATTGTCCATGTTTTTTGTGCAAGTTTTATAAGACCGTTGTTTAGTCTTTTTTTAATGAAAAAATTGGTGAAAAAAATCATTTTAAAGGGAATTTGAGAAATTAGACATAAGATAAAATTTTATTTATTAATAAGAATACAATTTGATCGGGGTTGAGATTGAGGTTTTGATCATTTGAGAGAGAGAGAGAGAGAGTTCGGAAACGTTGAGTTGAAAGAAGTTGGAGTGAGTGAAGCAAAACTCGTCGAAGGGAATGGTGGTGCAGTGGTCAGAACAAATCTCAAAGAATCGAATTTCACCTTTTTTTCATTTCTCTCTCTCTACTTGTTTGGCGAAGCATTCAATTTGTGAACACTCAAACCGTCCCTTGTTTTCATTGACACATTCTCTCTTTCATTTGTTCAATTTCCTTCTTCTCACCTCTCTCTCTCTCTCTCTATCTCTATATATATATATACACTAGCGGTTGCCACACGCGATGCGTGTGCAATTCAAATAAATAGAAATAAAATAAAATATTTATCATATATTGTGTATTAGTTAAGTGGTAAGAGTCTTATTCATTTCACATAAGTTTAAGGTTCAAATCCCCTCCTCTCATCTATCTAATCTATTTTTTTTTTTATTTCAAATAAAAAAGTAGACACGTGGCAGCATAAGAACCAAAGGCTTCCAGACACCATAAGGTGTGCTCACTTTATAATAGTATGGATAGATAGATAAATAGAAGAAGATGTGTGTGTGTGTGTGTGTGTGTGTGTGTGTGTGTGTAACATTGATAAGAATTTGTCATTGAAGGGTACGCTTTGTTTCCATTCTCTTACTTAAATCAGACCTACTAAACTGCGATGCTCTCTCTACTATCTCAGTTACTATATAATTCTTACATTTCGACAAATAGGTCCGTTTTTAATTTTATTTTTTTCATGGAAATTTGATTCAGAAATACTGGAACTTTTTTTTTTTTTTTTCAAATATGCTCACTCACCTTTTGCAAGTACCTCATTTTCTCTATATTTTAAGGGTATTTAAGGTTTTTTTTTTTTTTTTTGGGTGCCGCCGGGGGGGGAGGAGGGAGGCCTAAAACGATATTTATCTATACAAATTATAGGACAAATAAGTTAAATAGTTTGCACAATAAATTAAATTTGGATAGATTAAAAAAATACTAAGATAGATAAGCAAAAATACCAAGACAGATAGATTCAATTTGCACAGATAGCAAAACTAATAGGACAGATAGATTCAATAGATAGGTTGATTTCAACAAATAGAGAGATATGGTGATTTCACCACATAGTGTCCTTTTGACTTAAAGATATTAGAGCTTGGGCTTAATGGCCCAAAAGATTAAAAAATGAACCTATGGCTTGAATACCTTTTTTTAATTCAATCTTGTTATATTCCCTAATTGAGGCCTTCCAATTCCACTCCTAATGACATGGCTAAGACTCATGTGGAGTAGTCTCACAATCCTCTCTCTCTATCTCTATCTCTCTCATCTTTAGTCTTCTTAATTCCACATCATTGAATGTGGAATTAAGGGGACCAAATTAGGGAGATGAATCATTTTTCTTTTTATTTTCAGTATTTGTGTTGGTAGTTTACTTTGGCTTTCATTTAAAGTTAGGGTTGTTTTTGGGAACTAGTTATTTTAGTTGATTTTTTGACCTTTTACAAATAGAAGTGCATAAAAATAGAGATGAGAGTTAAATTTTTGATAGTAACTTTTTAATTTTTTGACTAAAATAGGGAGTTCCCAAACTTGCCCTTAATGTTATAAAAATAATTTAATTAAATTTGAAAATTTAATTATTAAAAAGCATAGCTTAAGAAACCCTAACCGTTCTCACTCTCTTTAAGAAACCCCAACCTCTCTCTCTCTAAAAAACCCTAGCCTTGCTCCCTCTTTCTCTATTCTTTATGGGGAAGAAGGTGGTGGTTTTAATCAACATCTCCCATTCGTTTCTTCTCTCACAGCTTATCCTATTTTCTTTATTGGTCATCACCATGCTAGCCACTATCATTCTTCTCGTCTCCATCATCAGCTTGCCACCAAAAAAGCTTTCAGATCATTACTCAAATCTAATTCTTGACTGAGATCCAATGCTGCTAAACACGCTTTTATATGCTGAGTGACCACCTCATATCCAGAATATTTTTGTATTGTAATGTAGAGGCTGCAATTAAGGTACCATAGTTACCGATTGCAACGATGAATGAATCGTGAAGGCAATGCTTTTTTGGTGGTGATTTTTTCTTCTTCTTCTTCTTCTTCTTCTTCTTCTTCTTTTTTTTTTTTTTGCAATAATATATATCTTTCTATGTAAAGGATTTATCCTCCATTCATGGAGATTTTAATTTCCTTGTGTAGAGGTTTTCTTTTCTTTATCCCTTTTGGGATCTATTTTGTACCCTGATATACTTTAATTAACGACTTATTGTTGGATGTGCTATATATTAAGTATCAAGTTTTTCCATAAAAATAAAAATTAAAAAATAAAAATAAAAAAAAAGTGTGATATGTGTTTCTAACTTTTATTTTATTTTGTTATGGTATTTGATTCTCTGAAATTGGTCATTCAACTTGAAGGGGGCGTTTGGATTTGGTGGGTTTATTTTGAAACTGATCTCGATGATGTAAATCATTCACTTTGCAGAACTCGTTAAGTAGAATATTTATGTAAAAAATTAAGATGATCGGATGTAGGTAACTATAATGTTTAAATCACATTTGTTTTTAAAAAATGGACAATAATTATAATTTTAAGAGTAACCATCCATTTTTTCTAATACAAATGTGATTCAATCATACAGCTATCGACATCCAATGATCTTACTTTTTCGTCTGAATATCGTACTCAATGAGTACTAAAAAGTAAACAATTTAGATCATCGAGATCGACTCTAAAATAGATCTACCAAATGTGTGTGTGTGTGTGTTTCAAGTTAATATGGCCAATTTGAAAGAATCTAAACCCTTTATTATTAATTTTTTAAGTTTAAAAAAGTTGCATTTAATATATAATAAGAGAAATGGTTTGTGAGATTCGCATGCTGTACGACTCACACTCATAGAAATAGTGTATAGTTTTTTAAGTAATTTTATTTGTACTTCTAGCAATGCTCATATTTCTTGCACATGCAAACAAGTGACATAATTTTTGAATTTCTTCATTTTGTTACTTGGTTTGTCTCCTTCTAGTCATTCTTCTCTATTGTTTTTTGATTTTGTTTTTGGGAGACACGCAAGTTTGACTAATGAGAATTCTTGCATAGCAAGTTTTGTGTTTTCATTTTTGTTAAGTTCAATTTTTAATTTTATTTTATAGAATAATGCGTTAGATTGAAATCATTCATTTTATAACAAAATATTTTTATACCTCTAGTCTTTCTTCTCTATTTTTTTTGGTTTTGTTTTAGGGAGACACGCAAGTTTGACTAATGAAAATTCTTACGTAACAAGTTTTGTGTTTTCATTTTCATTGTTAAGTTCAAATTTTTTTTTATAGAATAACGCAATTAGATTGGAATCAGTCATTTTATAACAAAATATTTTTATAAAGAAAGTTATGGGAATATTATTGTTATATCATTGTCAATATATTATAACTTCTTTTCTTTTCTTTTTTTTAAATGTGATGATTTTTTTTTTTTTTTTTTTTTTTTAAGCGTAACGTTGATAAGTGAAGGACATATTTTTTTGTTCCAACAAATCCAATATAATAATTGTACATATTTTTTGCTCTCATACCGCATCTCTTTTGGCTGAAACCTTGTTTAGGCCAGCCTTCTTAAAATAAAAGGTAATTTATACTGATTTTCACTGAAATTTGAAGATATACAGTA